ATGCATTCAGGAAAGTGATCATTTGCTTATGGCCTCCATGACGTTCACAACATCATTGCTCTCTGGTGTTTGTTCCTTTTTTTTTTTTTTTTTTTTTTTTTTTTTTTTTCTTTTTTTTTTTCGGTTCAGGCAGACCAGCGGCACCAGTGCCACTTCCGAAATTCCCACTGCAGGTACCCTCACGCAGAAGGCTCGGAAAATAGTGGCGTGCAGTGGGCAGGTAGGGGGATTTTAGGTGAGGGTGTACTGGTGGTTTAATGCTTTGCTGACACCACATTGTCCATTCGGGTCATTTTCATCACTTTGCGGATCCTTGGCTCCACATACATCGCTCAACTGAGCATGTATCAGAAGGTGTGAGGATTGGACGTTGGTAAGCAGACATGCAGCTTGAGGGGCTAGGGGAATGCCTCCCCCGCGTCCCGCCCTCACGTAGGCCATCCTGCTGCTAGGAGGCCTCCCGGCCAGCGGGATAGCCCCCAAGCAGGACAACCGTTGGGGGGGGAGTGGGGGATGCTACGGGCCGCCCCTCCCCCCCAACGGTTGTCATGCTTGGGGGCTATCCTGCTTGAGGGGCTGCTAGGGGAATGCCTCCCCCGTGTCCCGCCTCTTGGAGGCCATCCTGCTGCATAACTGGGTGCTGCTAGGAGGCCTCCCGGCCAGCAGTATAGCCCCCAAGCAGGACAACCTTTGAGGGGGAGGGGTGGCCCCTAGCATCCCCTCATCCCCCCCCCCCCCCCCCCCCTCCCTCCTGTTTAGGTGTTACATGCCCAGTTGGGCGATGTACATACAAACCGAAGATCCGCAATGTGACGAAAAGGACTGAATAGACAATGCAGTGCACGTGAAATCTCAACAAGCAATGTGCATTCCGATACATACAAAAAGGTGCTTTTCAGCGCAGTGGAAGAAATACAAGTCCTGACCTGACCGGGACTGACCTCTATCACGTAGTGCCAGACAGCGTAGCAGAATGCTAGAATATCAATGACTAGCCCATTCAATGTTGCAATGCAGACTAAACATACATCATTCTCATCACAAGGTGTGAAGAGACCTGGCGCTATATACAGGAAGAAGAGCGCCAGGCCCTGATCATGCACAGACAAAGAGGAGGGGAACAGACGAAGAAGAGGAGGAGAGATGGGAATGTCGTCAACACCAAGTCTTTGTCACCAGTCCCAAACAATCCCTCGTTAAAATGTCTGAAGCCCAAATGTCGAGTCTGGATCCAAAATGTCACCAAGCTCTCTCTTTCTCTCATAGTCTGCTGATGCAGTGAAGTCAGGTAGCGAGAGGGTGAGAGGGAGATGGTGGACTGAGAAGAGGAAGAAGAAGAACTCTCTCTCTCATGTGCCAGGTACTAACCTGTGAAGATGGCGCTATGCTGCAGGTACCTCGAAGACGGAGCTGGAGCCATGGCGCTGCAGGTAAGTCCCTCTGGCCTCCGCCCAATCTCTCTCTCTCTATTACTACCCTAGCTGCTATGGCACCCAGCGCTGAAGACTACAGCTAACGCTACTACTACTCCTGCAGCGCTCCTCCAGAGTGCTGCTGCCGAATCCTGAAGACTACTGACTGCCTTCTGCCTGGCCGTGAAGTGCATGGGACGTCCCTATGTAGTACCTCGGCCTGCCTCCTGACTGCCTCCGACTGCCTGCAGTTGCAGGGTGGGCAGTCCAGGAGGCTGCTCTTGCCAATGCCAAACTGAACCAGGGTCTGGCGCTGCAGCTGTCGTGGGAACAGGCCAAAAATAGCCTGTTCCTAAAACCCTGGTTTGGTGCCTGAGTTTCAGGCCGAAAACAGCCCTTCGTTTCAGGCTAAAAAGGCTACTGCCATTTTTAGTCTGAAAGGACACAGGGTCTGTAGGCCCCTGTTTTTCAGGCTTTCGAGCTGAACAGACACGGGGCCTGTTGGCCCTGGTTTTCAGGCTTTCAGCCTGAGGGACGCACGGCCTGGAAAATGGCCCTCGTGTGCAGGTGCAGCATGTAACATTAGGCGACTAGAGCCGCGAGGGCTGATCCGTTCCTCTTTTCTCGTCTTATCTCCCTCTGTGCCGTACAAACATGCTTGCCGGTGTGATAAGCAACCGGACTGATGCCCCCCAGAATTGGAAGGGCTTTGTGTTTCCTTAACACTCTTAAAGAGTGCAAAGGGTCTCGCGTGACGCTCCCACGGAGACCCGCTTGCCAGTGTTGGGAAAGGCGGCGGGGCAAGGGGCGGGCCACGGGACACCTGTGTCCTTTTTTTATCTTTTTTTGTCGTTTTGTGGGCTCGCTCGCGTCGTTTCGTTTTGGACTCAGGGCCTCGCTGCACTACTCACCACTACTCAAGAGACTGAATCTACCGCTGGAGTACATAGAAATACGTTGCTTATCGTTTTTTGTCGTTAGCCCGCTCGCGTCGTTTCGTTTTGGACTTAGGGCCTCCCTGCACTGCTCACGAAACCGAATCTACCAAAAAAAAAAAAAAAAAAAAAAACGAATCTACCGCTAGAGTACGGAGAAATACCTTGCTTATCTTTTTTGTCGTTTTGTGGGCCAGCTCGCGTCGTTTCGTTTTGGCCTCCCTGCACTACTCACGAGACTGAAACTACCGCTAGAGTGCGGAGAAATACATTGCCATCTTTTGTCTTTTGCGCACGTAGATCCACGGCCCGCGCGCTTGTTTTTCTGCGTCGTGAAAGGGCGGTGGGGACGAACGGGATGAGTCGGAGGGGGTGCGGGGAGGTGGGGACCAGGGCAGTGGACGGGGGGAGGGGCAACGTGAGGAGCAAAAGAGGGACCAGCGGAGGCAGGAACGCGATGTGTGTGTGTGTGTGTGTGTGTGTGTGTGTGTGTGTGTGAGAGAGAGAGAGAGAGAGAGAGAGAGAGAGAGAGAGAGAGAGAGAGAGAG